TTTCTTTCAATCCCTCACCCTTCAAATTCTACAACCCCATGACACTGTTCTGCTCTCTGATGCACAGCATGCAATTGCAAAGACTATGGCCTGAATCAGACACACCTTAGTCCTCAAACTGATATCATTGCTCCTCAACAATTTGGAGAGATCCCTGATGGCAGATAGTCTCGGAACAATATGTCTCCCGATCTCCTGACATGTGTCTTGATTGTGGATCCAAGTAAGATGAAGTCATTGACAATCTCAATCTTTTCTCCATCTATCATGATGTTGGACTAATGGTGTAGTGTTGAGGGTTTTTGCTTTCTTTTTTTTTTTCACTTTCTTGATGCTGAAATGCAATTCATATTGAAGGCTGCAATGTTTAATCAAATTGTGTGACCCTTCCCCACTGCACATCTCTGCTTCCACATTCCACCCTCCCTTAGAGCCTTATACTCATTCTACAACAATGGTTTAATACAGTATTTGTCCTTATGGAATTGATTTCTTTCACTCAGCACATACTTTGGGTGTGTTGCCAGGAGGACCAGTCCTGGGAGAAGGATATCATGCTTGAAAGGGTGGAGAGGCAGCACAGGAAAGGAAGACCCCAGATGTAAAGTATTAACACAATAATTAGGGTAATCAGGGAAGGTATGTCAGAGACAGTGAGATTGGTCCAGGGATAAAGCAGGGTTCAGAGCTATTGTACATGAGGTCACTATGAATTATAGATGACTTGATGGCACATAAAAACAACATTAGTAAACAGTTTGTGCCCTGATGACTTTTGTTTATTTACACACTTTATTCTTTTAAAATTGATGACTTAGACACTGCATGGCAGAAAGGGTATTGCATGGCAAGAAGAGGTGCTGCACCCCAATACTTTGGGGGAAACACTGTTGTTTAGCTATATCATGAGGGACCCCTTAAGCTCAAGTGGAAGGGAGTGGGACAGCTTAAGCGACACTGAGACACCAGATCTAGAAGAGAACAACAGACTTCCTTTTTTCCCCATTCAGATACTTTCGGGAAATCACTGCTGTTTAGCTATACCACATGGGACCCTTTAAACTCAAGTGGAAGGAAGTGGGATAGCTTGAGTGAGGCATACATGTCATTTATAAAAGGGAGCAACAGGCTATTCAGGTGATTTGGGGGAAATATTTCTGTCAGGCCAAGAAGGGAGAAGAAATATACAGGTCCTTCACAAAGCATTGGCATACTCTGGGTCACTATATAGTGATAACGACCTAACATTTATCATCAGTAATCAGAAATCACAGAAAAAGAAACATGACAAGATGGAAAAAGTAAAACCTGACCTCACAATAATCACACTTAATGTAAATG